TATCTTACCAATTTTTTATGGTAATAAAATAAATTTAAATCTATTAAAAATCCTATTTCTAATATAAGTAAAAAAAATGAGGTTCTTTCTAATGCTTTTTTTTAAAATTATTGACTAGTATTTATAGGTTTTTAATAAATATTATATATATATATATATATATATATATAAAAGGTCAGTATACATATTGATTTTAATACTAATCTTTAATATTCAACAATAACTAAAAATATTAAATTAACTAAAATAATTAATTTTAAGATTTATTAATAATTATTTAATATTTTTTTTTTCTCTCTCTCTCTCTCTCTCTCTCTCTCCCTCTCTTTATATATATATATATATGTATATATATATATATTTTAATAAGACTCTTTTACCTTATAAACATTACTAAATTCTAATGAATACTTAAGTCATGAAAGACTATCTAATACTAATATTTTTATATTTAAATTAGTAAAACCTATATTTTTAATACTTCTACGAATTAAAATTTATTGGTGAGACTTACATAGTTTATTTATCAAATATTTAAAAGCAACTTGAACTTTTTAATATAATATTTTGTTTTTTAGTTAAGAACTTTGCCTTTTCATCTTCTGAAAAGTAGACTTATTGCCTCATCTTTCAACCCCCCCCCCCCATCAACCTTACAACAAAAGTCTTTCCACATTCTAAAATCAAATAACTTCAAATCTAAAACTAGACTCTATATGCTCAACATTATATTACTTTAGAATTCTATTACAACCTTCATATATATATATATATATATATATATATTTGTAATTTATATAATTTTTTAAAATTTAAAGAATAAAAATTTATTTATCTAGATTTAATATATGTATACATATATATTTTCAAAAAATAATTTAAAAAATAAAATAAAAAACTATAATAATTTAAAATATCAAATTTACTTAAGGATCAATATTTTTAACCATGATAATTCTGAAATAAAAAATTTGATTAAAGAATATATAATATTATATATTATTAGACTTTTATGACTATATTAAATTATTTTAGTAAATGAAATTTTACAAGTATGATTTTTTAAAATAAAAGATTGAATATATAAAGCTTTTGTAAGTATTTATTTGACTTTTTGTAATAATAAAATTTTATGCTATTTAGAATTTTATTATAAATTTTAATTTTATTTAAGACTTTAAAAAAACTAACAAAATAAAAGATTAATTGATTTTGTTTTCAAATTCAAACTCTAAATATGCAACAATGGATTGAAAAAATTCAAGATCCTTTGTATTTATTTGACTCAACAATTGAATTATTGATTAGATTTTAAAGTTCAAGGATTGCATGGCTTGTCATTGTAAATGAAGAGAGAATTAGAGAACTTACAATTGATTTAAAAGAAATATCAATTTTCATTCAACAAGTCCAAGTAAGATGGTCAATAACTAATGCAAGCAATTCACATTTATACACACAATTAGAAACACAACTTCTAAGCATATTCACCATTATGTAAAGGTAAAATTCACTCCTCAATTTAAATTATGAGATGGTTTTAATTGAGATTTTTTGGTAAGTATTGGTGTGAAGTAAAAAATATAGCTAATAAAAAAAATTTTAAAAAAAGAAAGAAACAAGTAAAAGAAATGTAATCAAATAATTATATACTTTAAATTTTTTTTACAATTTTTGTATTGGATTTTTATCCCATAAAAATAAAAATAAAAATAAAATTTTAAAACTATAATTATTTTTTAATAATACAGAAAATATATAAATTTACATCATTGCTAATAAGTTATGAAGGTTTAGAGATAAAATATTTAAATTAAAAATATTTAATTAAATATTTTTTGCATAAAGAAAGACTTTTTAAGAAATCAAGGATTTGAGCCTCACCATGGTTCATAAATAATGTTGTTAAGGTATAATTTACCACACTCCAAATCAAATGATTGCTTCAATTAAGAATTATTTATAATTGGTGGTATAAAGTAGAAGAAGCTATTAATAAGAATAAAAGAAGAGCAACACAAAATAAGTGAAATAAGTAAAAAAAAGAAAAAAGAAAAAAAAGAAAAAGAATTGTACATATCAAGAATACTTATCACAATCTATTCATTAGATTTTTATCAAATAAAAAATAAAAATAAAAATATATTTTAAAGTAGGTATTTTTTTCTTTTCAATGACATTAAAAATCTAAATGTAATGAATAAGTTATGATAGTTTAAAGGTAGAATGTAAGTAATAAAAAAATTAAATGAATAATTTCTACCTTAAGGATAACTTGCTTAAGATATCAAAAGTTTGAACTTCACCAAGGCTCATAAGTAGTGTATTAAGATATTCTAGAAAGGCCACAAGGCCTTAGTCTTATCGTCCTACCTACATCCAAGCTGCTACAATCCATATGAAACTAGTACACCTCCTTTCTTAGAAGGACTAGACTAACTATTGGTCTTCTTACTATCTACTGGTAAAATTAATATTTTTTTTTATTTTTGACTTCAGTATGATTTTTAAAAATACCCTATTAAGCTAGAAACTTCACATGGCCTTTAAATCTTGCTTCATTTCTTCATAATGACTTCTAAGGTGGTAAAATTCATTTTACCAAAGTCTTAAAAATTGTTGTAAAATTTTCTAATAAATTCTAAATAAATTCTAAAATTTTCTAGAATATTTTTATAATAATAATTTCAATTGAAAGCCATATTTTTTTATTTTAGTAACTTATTAGTAATAAAATTAAGTTAAATAAATTCTAAATCTTAATCTTAATATAAATAAATAAATAAACATGAAGTACTTTGTCATATCTTTTCTAAATAATGACTAACATTTATAACTATTTTATAATTAATCCATGTAGATAGAAGGCTAATGTAGATGTTGGTTTCAATAACTAAAGATTATTACCTAAAAATAGATATAAATATTAAATCAAGTAAAATAATTTTTTCTAAGACTTATTGAGACTCCATTCTTATGATTTTTTTTAATAAGATTCTTGTAACTTATAAATCCATCGAAATTCTAATAAATACTTAAACAATAAAATAAAATTTAATCCTAATATTTTATATTTAAATATTTAAAAATTATATTTGTAATAGTTTCATTAATTAAGATCCATTGGAGGGACTTACATATGGAAATTATCTAAAAATATTTATAATAATAGAAAGAATTCTACTCTTACTTTTAAGATGGTCTATAAAAAATAATAATAGAAGTTACAAAAGTAGACACTACAATCTATTTGAAGAAATAGGGTACAAGAAGAAATTCACTTGGACTTTGACCTAGAAACAAAGAAAGAAAAAAAAGGAAAAAGAAAAAAAATGTTTGATCTCAACATGTCTTCACATGTAGCAACTTTTTATTTAGTCACTAGCTCAATATTTAATTTAGTTTAAAAATATAGTTTTTATTGGTTTTTAAAAATATAGTTAGAAAATTATATAATGTAATATAATGTAATTTAATTTTTTTTTGTTTTGTTTTATTTTTTTGATAAAATCTACCATGACTTTATATTAAGGGTGTATTTAAATAAATTTTCCAAAAGTTTTTATTTAATTTATCTAACTACTTAAATTATTTTATATTTAACTTTAATTTATGATGTATAGATTAATAAATAAAATATTAAGTAAAGATTTTTTTTAATATTTCTAACTTATTAATGGTTTTATATAATTTAGTATATCTATTTTTATAATAAATTATATAATAAAAAAGAAATATATATATATATATATATATATATATATATATATATATATATATATATATATATCTTTTTTATTATACAATTTTAAAAAATAAACCTAATAAATTTTAGCTTTTTGTTGTTTGTTAAAATCTAAAATGAATTTACTTTAATTTTATATAATTTTTAAGTTTAATTTTTTTTGGATTTGACAAAAAGATATCAACTTCTTTTTATAGATCTAAAAGTATTTTAAAATAATAACCAATTTGTACTACATTATTTAATAGAAAAATTTATTACTTAGATATTAATGTAATTTCTTTGATTCTATTTCAAAAAATAACTTATCTCAAAGATGCATATAATCCCAAAAATGCATTTTTATAAATTAATGCCATTTTTATAATTTTTGAAGTCTCTTATTAACTAAGATAATGTTTTTGAATTTTTTGCTCTATTGCTGTTGATTTAAGTATTTAAAGTTCAATTTTAATTTTGAAGTATACATGAAATATTCATCTTTTTTGATATTATTTTTAGTGTATATAATAGTCATTTTATTTTTATTATAAAAATAACTATAATTTTTATTTGTGTATTTTTTAACCTAGAATTTGTAATTAGGAAAAGAATAGTAAACACAAATTTTTGTACATTCATTTACAGAAATAAAATATATTGCTTCAGATACTTTTATTAAAGGTTTTTTAATTCTATAAAAAGTTATTGTTAAATTGGAGTATACTTTCAATATTTTTGGCTCATTAAGAAATTGTTATTAACGATGCTAAATAATTTTTATGCTAAATTGTTAAATTTTATTCTTTTGGTGGAGAAAATTAAATCGTTAATAACAATTTCTTAATTATCACTATGTTATTTAGCATAAAAATTTAGCATAAAAATGAATTTTACATCATTATATAAAAATTACCAACTTTTTTTTACATAATGTGCTTTTCTATATTTCTAATATGGTTTTATCTTTGTATGATATATATATATATATATAACCAATGTTAATTTCGGGTCTACATATCTGAAGAGAGTATTAAAGCAAATGAACATAATACCACATTTTGAAGATTTAATATCAATAATGTCAAAATGTAGGGCTTCAACACTTTACCAGCTAACAGGCTCCCTCAATTAGACACACATACCTCTAAAGTGGTAAGCAGTTCTTCCTCTGTTTTGTAACGATGTTCATTAGTGCAATATTTTCTCTCATTGTATCATGTTGCAAAATTTCAGAAGAGCTACAATTCCATTTTATGATCCAGCACTTCAAGGATTGGACAAAAGACGTGGACAATTTATTCACAGTTCAGATTTGAGAACAGATACTACATTATGAGAGACTTTTACTCTCTTGCAATTGCAGTAAACACTGCTCATAAATAATCACAGTTATTAAAAAAGATAACTGAGATTTTCAGCTCTTCCAATGAAGAAAATTTCCTTTCCTTTGAGCAAATTTTCCACATAATTCTTATAACTGTAGATCTGACAGGTGAGCGGCATTGACCTAAGCAGATTCAGCTGCATATAGAGCCTTAATCTCCTCAACATCATCGTAGCTTCCCAAGAAAATGGGTGATCTGTCGTGGATGTGAGCTGGGACCAGATCGAGGGACTACGAAAGCAACCGAGTAATCAGTATAATATAACCAAGTCCGAAAAGTAGAAACTAACAGTGTTCAAATTCAAAAGAACAGTACCGAGTTAATAATTCTTCGCCAACCCTTGCGAATATCATTTTCACTAAAATGTTATATTTGCCTTTAGCTCATTCACAATTGGCATGAGTGTTGTGAGAAACTTTGCAAACAATTCAATAACTGACAAAACTTAGAAACACGGATAAGTAAGAGTGTAGGTGCACTCACTCTCTGCTTGCCAGTGAAGGATTGACCTCCAGCTTGCTCTACCAAGAAAGACATGGGGAAAACTTCATACAGAACCCTGTACCACAATATTGTTACAGCATTAAAATTAAATACTATATCTGTACAGGACAAAACTTGTCGAACTCCAAAATATATCAAACCATCAAACATTAGAAGTACGTGCCAATCATCAATACTAAAGCGTAATGTGGATATTTTGATGAATGAGCAAACAAGTTGAAGTGCAGTTAGTACCTGAGCTTTCCCTTGGGGCTCTTCTTGTCACCAGGGTACATAAAGATACCTCCGTATAGAAGAGTTCTGTGAACGTCCGCTACCATACTGAAAAAATAAACCCGCAACAGAGAATCATACCGGGAAGCAATTAGATATCACGTATATGATATAAAGAGCTTTCTAGTCCCCGATCTTGATCTATGTACCCGAGTGCATTTTTGCTGTGCAATTGTAGGAAATGAGAGTTTTGTGTACACAATCGTGCTTGTACCTTCCAATGTATCTCAACGACTTCGGCGATGACCCGTCCTTGGGGAACTTTGCGTTCTCCACATACTTGGTTGTAGGACCGTCCCAGTGTTTGGCATTTCCTTCGTTAACAGAGTAAATTTTTCCCTTCTTAGGAATCTGATGAAATTAAATAAATTATCAGATTGCCAGAAGCATAGTTATAAAAGATGGCAGGTCAAAAACTATTTGAAACCCATACAAACAAAGCGTTAAACCAGACTTGCATCAAGTAAGAATTAAAATAAAACACCTGGTCGCAATCGCACTGTAAAGGAGACATGATTTCTCGCGAAATTAAAGGTTGCCGAAGAAGCGCAGTAACGGACTTGTAGGGTTTAGTTCATGCAAATGTGGGAACACTTAAATGCATTTAGGAAAATTAGAACACGAAATGTCATCAAAGGACATACAGATATAAACCTTGATGTCAGGGTGCGTCAAGATGAACTCCCCAAGTGAAGGATCGAGGGTGAAGCCATTAACCCCAGCACCTGTGCTCAGTACCAACTGCAATACAGACAACCTTGTTACTGAGACTCTAGGCAAGCACTACTAACCTCCACCAGATTAGCTGGTGCAAATTCGATAAGATGGATGACTAGGCAAAACATACGTCTACATAATAAGTGCATACTTAACTGAACCCTGAGAGCTTAAGGGAGCGTACATAACTATATGTATGCTTTTAAGAAAAAATGTACTAAGTATTCTTACGACATCCAACACCTCAATTTGGTGGCTATTCCGACATCAAGCTAAAATGAAATTTTGGGGATGATTTCCTTTCAAAAGGCTGTTCCTCCATAAGGGTAGAGTGCTTACTGTGCATGAGCTTCCATACATACAGTAGCCTGCAGCAAGCATAGCAGTGCCAGGCTGCAAAACGTCCTCAACCGTCCCTGAGGCTCCTTCCTTAAGCATGTAGATTCCAAAAATCTGGGTCCAGGCAATCAACAGTTAAGATTGACACTAAGAGTTTTCGAAACTTATCCATTTATTCTTTGACATGTTGAACTATTTCGTAAACCAGCACTTCGATGCAACATTTGAGTGGACTCGTCTACTTCTACACCAAGCCTCATAACGTACTACGTTACCATCAGAGTAAAGAAGTACGTGAAAATTTCAAATGTACGTGACACAAACATTCAACGCTATAAACGACCAAGCTGAAAAGTAAAACAAAATACAAAAATGAGAAGTTTCTAATAATTTACCGTTCCAATAGATACACCACAATCAATGTTGGAAGATCCATCAAGTGGATCAAACACGACGCAGTATCTTCCTCTTTTGGACGGCTCTACAAAAATTGCGTCTTCGTTCTCTTCAGATACGAGGACATTCTGCGACCACGTAAATGCCGTGCAGATCAGAAATAAGAAATGACAGAAACAATACACGAAAAAGTAAAAAACTAGCAGAGTAACACTAAATGCAATTATCCCATATACATACAGTAGAGACCTTTTCTCTCAGAGGAATTGTCAACAGCTCAGACTGATCTTCTTAACATCTCAACATTTGTCAAGATGCTGACATACATTAACAGATGACAACAGGAGAAGCCTGACACATCGACCTAGACGTGCAAAGCATTTGCATTAACGAAAGATGAAACCGCAAAAGAATCAGTTAAATTAATTTGTAGTGAAATATTTTTAGACTTACGGTGCGTCCACTGCTCACAAGAGCGTTGATGAAGACATCATTCGACAAAACATCCAGTTTTTTCTGCTCTTCTCCCTGAAATTTCATAGCATCCAAATCAGTTTCATCTTGTTGAATCGCTTGATTTTGAGGCTTTAATATTTTTTCGGAATCAAAAGAGACGGGTTTGTAAATAGTAAAGAAAGATGGAGGTCATCATCCACGATAATGCGAGGAGGTGTAGTTTTAGAACATTCCCCCAAAGAAAATTCTCCTACTACTACAAGAAGTAACCAAGCATTCGAGCCGTTCATGTGGCATGCAAATGCCTTCGAAAATGACCTATGTCATCGTCACAGTCCATCTTTTGAGCGGAGAACAATTCATCAACTTCCTTAAAAAAATTGACACTGCATGTGATTAACCAATGGTGCAGGAAATGACGTGCCATGGTGTGCTTCAATTACCTGTACATTCGTCTCTCCTGCCAATCCGATGAGTTTCGCCAATCCAGCCTGAGCAAATATTCATTAAACCTCTCGTTAGTTCTCAACGGAAATGTTGATAACTTAGCAGAGCCTAATGGTCGGGGTATCAGAATTAGCTAGGAAACTGCGTCAGTCAAGATTCAAAGTGCTTTTCTCAAACTCAATCACAAATGGATGATCCTGATGGCCAACCCATCACAATGATCCGCAGAAGCTGTGGTCCTATGCGGCTTTATGATGGAAATGTCATGGTAACTACCAGAAATCTGAGTTTCAGTGCATGTTACAAACACGGACAAGGCAATGTTTAAACCAAACAGCTCCGACTGAAGCCTTTGCAATCATAAGCAGGAACTTAGAAGCTTCTCCATTTGTAATTCAACTGTTCATACAACGTGCTAAAGCCGAAAAGGATCATGTGGTCCCGACGTAGGCACTAAGAAATCCCAGACGAAATTCAACATTGTAAAATTGAAAGAATCTATAGAGTACCTTGCTAACGGACGAGCAAACAAACTTGCAGCCAAGCACGATATTGTTAAGGAGAATCGTGAGATCACCACGAGCTTCTGGAAATTTGCTCTGCTCATTGAGCACGTGCCGAGTAATTGTCATCAAGTCAGTCCTCATTGCATCCGCAGCGTGGTCCATGGCTGCGAGATCTTCCCAGTTCACTTCGCAGATCTAGCTTCACGACGAACACCTCTGAACATCATGAAACCACGAAAAATTGACACGTAACGATAAATTCCAAAACGCAGGATACAAACGGAGAGTTCCAGCCAACCAATTTCGTCCTTTCACATTTTACACAGTGACGGAAACAGTCACTCCCTTCAATATGAATCATCTAGCAAGACATTCTGACAACAAATTCCAAGTCCGCAGTGAAATTCGAACTACTAAAAAAAAAAATCATCAAAATAATTCAAATAATTTTTAAAAAATCCTAAAAACGCTCGAAAGAATTATACTACCACACTCTTCCGGGCAAATGAACCCCCCGTCACAGCGCGAAAAATGTAAGTAAAATGCTCGTTCAGACAGTGATCAAGCTGACTTTCCATGCGATCGAACTTCCTCGATTCTCCGCTACAATGAGCGCTACAGCAGACGATCATGTTCCTCAATTCATGCACACAAAATCAGTGACCGACGTACCTCGGAGGCAATTGTGAACGCGAGAAAGGAAGTTCAGCGCCGCGTCAGACAGCGACCTGCCATTAGAACGCACAGACGAACTGGGGCGAGGAAGAAGGTGATCTCCGAGCCTCCAGGTTCGGTTCCCGTTCCGGGGTCGGTTTCATCGAAGGAGGTAAGGCGAGGGGAGGTTCGGGGTAGGCAAGGTGGGCCACGATGGCCGCCTCGGAAGATAAGATAGAAGGTGAAAGGTGGATGGGTTCCGGGTTCGATCCCCTTCGTTGCGGAGTTGTGTGGTGTGGGAATGGATGTCTTTGCCCTCCCTAGGTTCCAATCATTGGCACCTCGCCCGTGGCCTAGGGATCCCGTTCCTTGAGATCCGTGCCTTAAGTGGTTCACCCATTGCCAAAATCGCCCCCTATTACCGCTCCGTTACATTTGTTGAGCAAATACAAAAGTTAATAAGTGATCACTGATATCATGTGTTTAGAAATAACAATTAAAAAAAAATTACATGTTTCTAATCTTGTGGCAACTCTTTGAACGTTGTGCGATTCTTTCCTATTGAGTTTTCTTATTTATAATTTTAATTAGTGTATTAGAATTTTTGTATACATTAAATTCTCTTATGTGTACTACCAACATAGAGATGTGTGCGTGTGCATGTGATTTTTTTTTTTTTTTTTTCAAACTAGCCTTTAATTATATATATATATATATATATATATATATATATTAAGAAAAATCAATACTAGCCTGGATAATTGGTGGGGAACGGAGAATAAAAATAAAGAAAACATTGGGTTATGAAACAGGAAGATATTTATAGAAGGAAAGTAGTCCAAACTCTGGAACTTCTTTTTGGAGGAATTACGTTACGTACTGTAAATAATATAAAATCTAATTTATGGCTTTGTTTCTATTACGGTACAGTCTACTTTTGAAAAGCTCGAAAGTGGTTTTTAATAATATCTCGTAAAAACCTACTCAATTGGACGCAAATCGCGTGGGATCATTTATCATCCGTCATGACACGGATGATAAAAACGATGTCGTTTATTCATCCATTGTGCCTGGGACAAGTTGCGGACATGATTCAGAAACTTTATGAGTCACCCACCCACCGGGCAGTTTCCGCCCCATCGTGGTTCGTTCCGAACCTAACACATGACCAGCTCCGGAACCTGCCTCGGAAGTTTAACGCGTCGGTTCGGAAATCCGTGAGAGAGGGATCGGAAGAGCTATCATTGCAGAAAATGGGGTTATCACGGCCTGTCGAGAGCTGGCCGCACTGAATGGCGAGCAAATTCTTTCGTGTGCAATACGGAGGTGCAATATCGATATTCACGATGTAGATGTGAACACATTCGTATTAAGCACAGCAGGTGCATAAGGAGTCCTCTGAGTAAGTTTTCTCTCGACGGGTGGACAATGCTGTGAAGAAGAATGTGCCTGGAGGTCTACAATTTACAAACTAGTCTTGCAAACTAGATGTTGCAACTTTTATGTGTGGCTATGAGAAGCTCGCGATCGTGATTCAGTTCACAACAGAGCACACTCTTCGAATTTCACCTTCCGACCCCAGCTTCACTCCCACGCGGCCCATTTTGAGCATGGCTGCGGTGAAGCGCTCAAAGAATACAGATCTGTTGTTTGCGTATTCCGTTACGTACCGTCCTGTTTTCACGTTGATGAGCAATGACGAATCCGAAGTCAGAATGCCTCTGCTTTCCAGCACCGAAGTGTAGTAGTTCTCGTCGAACTGGTCTGGGGTGATGGGCTCCGTGGGGATGCGTGCTGTGTTGTCCACGGGTTGTGGACACATGCTGCGGAGCTTGATAGCGTAAGTTTCCGAGAGGAGAGGATCATACCCAGTTGTGCTGTTAAAGCCGAAGAATCGCCTTGCGACTTGCGCACAATGAACCCTTCCAAAAGTGTGTGCCCCCGACAATGTGGCCATGTCACGGGGAGTCAAGCCCATCGCAGCGAACTGTACGATCAGAGACTCGGCAGTCGATTGGGAGGAAGGCAGCATGCTTCCTGCTTGATCAGCTCTGGAGACGCGACCGTCTCTTCGCCCGAGCTCCACAGACCACGTCGGGCCTCCTGCCTAATCATGGATTCATAAGAAGAATGAGAACTCGATGAAGACAATGTGGTGCAGGAAACAAATTTTCACTGCGGGATCGACGCTGTTCATGGACTGATCCGATGGCAACGAGTTGGAATTACGAATCTATGGCTTAATTACCTGCACAACGGCGTCGCGGCTTGCAAGTGCGATGATATCGGCACAGGACACAATGCCAGGGCACATGGCCTCGACTTGGCTCTTAATGTCATCGACAATGTCGTATCCTCGCACCGTCAAGTTGGGGACAGCATCACGCTCAGCTGTGTTGTTAGGAGTTGAAGCAATCAACACTGACCCGTCACATCCCTGAAATTTTAAGTGCACCACCAAATCATCATCAAATCAATTCAGGGTCTCTCTATTCAAATTTTTACACTCTCACAGAGAGCAGCATCACTTGAATTTAACATGTGTTTTCGATTGTTCTATCGCTTTGAAGCATTACTAAACAAACTTGATGGTGAGCCTGAATATAGCATGCATGACAAAATCCAGCAAACTTTTAGTTTACTGTAGGTAGTAAGCTAGAAATTTATTAAATCATCAGGGTTGGAATGTGAGCTCACATTGACAGCGCAATCGTGGAAGAACATGCGGAGTAGAGGAGCCCCAGAAGAGATATCTTGTTGCAAGTTCCTGGCCATGGTGGACGTTACCACCTGCTGCAGTCCTGGGCAGCTATGGCTGTAAAATAGCGTGTTCAGCTTTGGTACAATTCTTGGCGTTGCAACGCCTATTTGAGCTTCAGTCCTCGCGGAAAACAAGCATAACACGAAACAACAGCATAACACAGCTCCCCAAATAAATCTTTCCTGAATCTGGAAATGTGCCATTTCAAGACAGGCCTCTTGCTTCAACACTTCTCACAAAATTATTACTCTCACGGCTCCAGCTTCTTGGTCGTTGAGTGATAATATCTCTTCAGACCTTACAGGAAGGGATGGAGTTTCCCTCTCCGCCGCCTCAAACTTCTCAGTTCAAGTCTTTGTGCCAAAATGATTGACGATAGGCAGGCTTTTTTTGTTGAACAGATCTGCTGTCAGGGCTGTAGACCTCGATCACCGAGAACCCCGATCTCATAACTCCGACAGTTCCCAAGCACTTTCGATCGATTTAGATTACAAAGGAACGCCACCCGATATTTAAAAAGAATACTGACTCTGCCAAATCCAGCAATGTTGTCCCGAAGCCATCCAATAGCTGGTCCCGCGCTTCTGCACCTTACGTAATTCTACTTCTCAACGTGCAAAGTGCTATGGACACAAAGCTGCAACCATGTAAGATCAACCACCACGGCTGCAGGCCTTATTGCACCCTCGTGAAGTCCATCGCGGGGTGAAACCGACACAATGTAATCACACCTTCCTCACTCTACTTCCGAATGCAGTTGGAGCCAATATTCTTGTTCGACTCCAGGTTATCATTTCCGGTCCAATATTCTTGTTCAGCCAGCGGAAAACTGAAACAACCTGCGGCAGCTTCACTCTCAACCTACGCCTAGTCTAGGTCATGTCTCAACCTGTTGCATGTTTCATGCAGAGAAGTGACTTGTAGACAGAGAGTGGCTGCCTGGCGGTGATTTATCCAGGGAACCAGATGGTCACTGGTGCCAGATGTTCAGCTAGAGATACGCGGCGAATCTGGGAAACTCATGGAAAAAGAGAACAATGTAGCACCGCCTCTGCAAAAGACAGATCATCGCCTCCAGCTTGATGCAGTAGCAGCAACTGAACTAGCTAGCTGGGGGTTAGAACCATGTGTAGTCATGTGCCAGGTCAAACGCCACGAAGCAATGGAATTGCAGATGACTCTACGGGGGTTGGCAGAGCTGGACCCAGCCGGACGATGAGGACGGGAGTACCATGAGCATCGCCATCGCTGCGAAGACGCGCTATTACGCCACTTAAATTGATATGGTTTATTACGTCGAACGGGCAGTTCTCATCGCTCCATGAGGAGCACAATGAAGCATCCTTGCAACCGCCGCCGACCCTCCTCCTCGTTATTTTGTTGTTCTCTTCTGCTGCTGCCTAATGATGCAGTATGCAGTTTCTCAGATGGCTCACTGTACACCGGTATCTATGTTGCCCGTAGCATTACAGATCGACACCATTATGGTATGCAGTAGAGGTGGCAAGACACACGCAGCAAATTTTGTTCAGCCTGAGGTTCTCACATGGGCCAGCTAGAAATCGGTTTTTAAACCCACCTGCAATAGCTGGTCAGTAGCAACCCACTGTTTGTACAGAGCATCCCGAATGATACCCTCGTCAGACTTGCTCTGCCATGGTTGTACGCACACAATTAATACCTCCCTGGCAAGTGATATGCATGCGCCACGGCTCTCGTAAGAATCTTCAAACGCGGTAACAAATTACTCTTCGGAGACTGAGGGGCGCATTGACCGAAGGAATACATTGGCTTGAAATCGTTTCGTTACCTGAGCAGTTATGTGGGTGTTCCTGGTGACACCCCAGTCCTGGAGTTACCATCCCCCCGGCAGATTAGCTTGCACAGTCTAGACGAGGACATAACCGTAGCTTGGTTGGCGGGTGTCGATGAAGCCCGGTACATCGGACTGTCAATGATGAGGGCTGCCTACTCAAAAGACTCTTGATCGGCTTTTTCAGGCTTCTTAGATGGGGTTTACAATCCATGCTCATCTAGCGGCTTTCGGGACATGGGACGTTGCTCAGTGTCCGGCCAGCTTTCATCCCTGCTCGAAAGGACGTCACCCATCGCTGGAGCTTCATTTGCCGATGAATTTTGCACTGAGTGCTTGTGGGATGCTTGATATCTTCATGACCAGAGTTAGCTCGTTTTGGAAGATTGTGTACTTGCCTTCTCTTGCGGTTAACGTTGCCACAAGGGACCAAGCGGAGGGTGTCAATGCAATTGACTGAAACTGCCCCTACAAAAGTACTGAGTTACATGTCAAAACATTCACTTTTGACACTTGAGGCAGATAGGTACTATCCAAGTCTTAGGGTGCCAAAAGGCTGCACTGTATTGCAGTTCTCTCTATCACATGTTGAAACTCACAACATTTGAAATTTAATATTATCACCAATATCGTTCTGGGATTGCAACATGAAAACACTCATTGAAATGTTGGTTTGATAAAGATTGTCATTGTAAAAGTATTTGAAAAATCTTATCCACAAACAAATGTTTACTTGCTCTTTTCAGTATTTTTCTTTGTTGACATATGGATTGTAATGACTGACTGTCAAGGAAGGCTCAAAGCCTGAAATTGATGTAAACATGTTTCACTTGTCAGGATTTTATTTTTTACAAATTTACAAATTTTCAAATACATTTGATGAAAAATACCTGTTACAAAGATTGCACCATTGCAAAACTCAATGAATGGGTATCCCATTGTTGTTATTCCAAATATTGGTTCATTGAATACCTTCAAATTTTTATTATTATTATAATATGCCTTTGAGGAAATTACAATTCAGTGAAACATCTTATCTTTTTTATTTAGTTGAAGGGAACTTGGTGATGAAACTAGCATTGGATTGCATCCATTTGTGTGCACATTGTTTCAATGAAAGCTACAACAACATCCATAGCATTATAATGTTTATTTATTTTTGATGTGACTATTTTAACGTCAGTCACGGTTTCTCTCCAATCATGTTGGGTATTCTTGAAAGAAACCATGGGGGTTTTTTGCTTGAAGTTAAAACTGCTGCCACCAAACAAGCAACAGGATGGAGTGAAAATGGGTAAGGTATGAACTCTAAAAGCTAGCAACGTGACTTGAAAGAAACATTGTTGAATGGGCTTCTCTTAAATGAGCTCTAGGGTCAAAATTTTGAATAAGCTTGTTATCAAACATCACACATGTTAAATACCATGTACTACCATAATCTTTATTGTGAAGTTGAGTAATTTGTACTTTCGATTACACACATGCACAGACAATCATTTTTAGAACCAATAAAGAGTACTAAGATTTGACATTATGTAACTTTGATTGAATAACTGATTTTTTATTCTGAAAATAATGCCTGTAGAAATTTGTAAGATCATGTTCTATATTTGGATACAAAAATTAGTAAAAAAAACTCTAACATTATTATTTATATTTAATGGACATATTATTAGACATTAATATTATTCATTTTCAATAATCTATGTCACTAATTTAGTCTTGGTGTTTATATGTGCTTTTTAATTGTATTTTTAGCAATTTTAATCACCTCTAAAATTAGTTCACATTCATCTTGCATATAATTCAAACTTATGACAACTTACATTATATACCATAAATGCATTAATGTTTTATGAAATTCACAGGCAGTGAAGCAATTAAGGAAATCATTATGTTAAATAATAAAGCTAGACATGCATCCACATGCCAAGTTACACTTTAATACACGAAAAATGTACTCTGTGGTTGTTAACATCCTGTTTGAAAGTAGATATATATATATATGTTCTGAAAACCCCTATTCATTTTACTTATATTTTGGTTTTGTATGATCTCTAAAGGTACTAAATCCTCCGAATGTTTACTGCTGGTTTGTGAACATTATAAATACTCTTTAACTCAGTTGAAGATAGAGAACAAATTAATTTGGTGCTCAAAGAACAGTTAGTCTCGATCGTAAACTAGTCGTCGTCGTCGTCGTTCTTGTCCTAAAGCTGTTCTCTCACAAACACCGCAGTGAAAGATCGTGCATGAAGAACTTGAACCAGAAAGTCTGCGCCAGAGCGGATCAGAATGCCATTGTCGATCTCTTGTCAAATCCGATGCTGTAATTGTGTGGCTTTCCTGAGCTTTATCTTGACCTGGATATCGATTAACTCGTTCCGTACCAATACTTCACCCAGTATTCCCTGTTTGTGTCCAGGATTGCCAACTTCACTTGAAGTACAAATTGACATCCTGTGGAAGTAATTTTCGCGTCTCTTGTAGATTTCTGCGAGGTCATACTTTGTTCACCCTCAGTATCACCGGATTCTGTATTCCATACCTGTGGTCGAACTTGTTAGCATTGTGTAGCTGACGAAAAACCGGCGCTCACACCACCCTCAACAAAACAGCTCTATTCAGGGTCCACAATTTTCAACCTGCTGATGCCTTTTTCTGCTGAAGAATCATTGAAAGCTCAACTTCAGGACGAGGCTTCACACGATACTGAAGATGTCTCATGATGAGAAGCAGTATGGAGTGATCAACCTGGACAAGACCAGGCATAGCGGGACGCTGGATCCCCTGGTAACGAGCAGCTTGATAAAAGTTGATTTGACAATATTAAGGATTATAGCTTGTTGAAGTTGTTGCTTGAAATTTAAAATTTCTTAAGGTTTGATAGGCTTTTAGAGATTTTTCATGATTTGATAAGATTTATTTATAATTTTTTATGATTTTTTAAAGATTTTTTAAAATTTTATTTATGCTTTAAGAAGTTTTACTTTAAAATCTTTATAATATGTTAAAGATTTTATTAGATTATTAAAGAGATTGTTAAATTTTGTTTAGAATTTCTTTAATAATTGTTTAAGATTATTTCTAAGATTGTTTAGAATTGGTGGATATTAAGATTTGGAGTTAATAGAATATACGAATGCCTAGACTTAGGATTTCTAAAAATATTATGGTTATTACAAAGAATATTTTTATTTATTTTTTATTATAAAAACAAATTTAGGCTTTAAAAAAAATCTCTTTCACAGACAAATTTTCAACACATTTCTGAGCTGTAATTTATATAATTAAATATTTTTTCTTTTAAAATATATTAATATCTCTTATAATAAAAAAAGTTGTATTTGAAATTAAATTTTCTAGAATTATAATAAAAGATATTTTAGACATCAAGAATAAAAAAATTATTATTATACTTATAAAACCTATAATAAGATAATAAATAACAATATATTTTTTTAATTAAATAGCTAAAAAATGTAGGTGCTTTGATTTAATAAGAACTCTCTATTTTTTTTTTATTACATATAGCCTTTCTTTTGTTTAGACCAAGATAAAAACATCTATAAAATGCATTTGACAAGCCTTATTTTTTTCAAGCCAATATATAATATTAAATACAAATCGTAACAAAGATATGTTTTAACAAGCTTGGCAATAAGTTAAGATAGGTATTCATATATAATATTCAACATTCTTATGATTAGTATAAACTATAAGTAGATTGGAAGCACCTTTTAGATGATGTTGCCATTCTTAGAATAAATCTACAATAGTACAAGGTTGTCTGTTATAGAATTTAAAGTTACTCTTAATTTCTAAGAGTTATTTTGAGTAAGTTCAATAGCATAAAGTAAATTATTTATATCTATTTGTAATAAAAATTTATTTAATAAAAAAAATAAGGCATTTCTTCTTCTAAAAAATGGATTGGAAAAAATTCGATTGCATAAAATAAGAGCTCACATAAAAACTACTTTCAAACATAAAAATACTACTTCTATATCTTGATTTTATTTTAATTTTTTATAGGTTATTTTTATAAGTGGAGAGAAACCTGAGAAAAAAATTTCATAAGTATTTAATAATATTTTAAAAATTCCAAAAAACATTAGAGACAATTTAGTTATATTATGCAAAAATCAGCTTAGAAATGGACTAGACATATGGATGTAGAAGGATTTAATATTATCTTGAAGTTGGATTTACGATCCAAAAAGATCTAAATAAATAAATAAATAAATAAAAATATTACACAAGGTCTTTAAAAACACCTTGATAATCTTAAATAATCTAAATAAATTTATCATAATATATTTAATTTTTAATAAATCTTTAAAAATTCCAAAAAAAAAGTATATTCTAAAAACATTAAAAGTAAAGACCAAATAAATAATTTATAAAAAAATAAAAATAAAAACTAAAGAAACCACAAGAAATTCTAAC